TAAAAATGCCAGTTTGGGGTAAAGATTTCCTCAGGAGAAATATTGTTATGTACCTTTGTAGTAAATATTTTCACATTCCTCTTAGATGAGGAAAACAATGCTTTCCAAGCCATATTGAATGATTCCATACTATTTATAAAAAAGTTAATCTGGTCTCCGAGAACTGTTTTCCCACAGTCCAGTTTAGTAACTTAGATCCACGATATGAGTAGTAATCATTGACAGTCGGCTGTGTGCTAGGCCTGATCCTTCTGGAGTGTGGATTACATAAATTGAGGAGTAATAAACATAAGAGAGTGCCTGATATTAACAAATTAGACCCTTTTACTCTTTCTGGACAAGAGGGATTTGTAACTAAAACATCTGTGAAGTCAACCCTTTTTATTCTTGGATAAAGAGAAAATAGCTAGTATTCCTGCAACCCGATTCTACTTTATGAAAGGACACTGTGACAGACATTTGTAAACATGTTAATTTATGTAAGTTCTTAGCTTTGAGGCTGTCACAAGCACAGACTTCCAGCGTTTGTACTTCATATTACTATTTGTGACAAAGCAGTGTTTTTGAAACTGGCTCAAATCCTCGAGGACAACAGGTGACAGATTTGACACTACTAGCTACTTCGGTACCCCGTAGCCCATTTACCAACTTGCACTACTTTTTCAGCTTCTTGAATAACCCTGTATGTAATGCTTGCAGAACATAAACTGAGTTTGCATAATTTAATGCTCATTAAATAGTAATAATAACTTTCAGCATTTGGGGTTTTTTTTACTCCAAATGAAAATAACATGCTCTAGTTTAGCACCTTTCTGAAGCGAGAGGTCAGGGTGCTGCTTGGTCACGTCTCTGGGAAAAGTCAGAGCTACTTGCACGCCGATCGCTCTCTGCTGTGGTCTTGACAGTCTGGAGCAGCCTCGGTGCTGATACTGACTCCTCGCACCACCTGGACAGGATCTTTTCACTTGTCAAGCCTCTTTCCTCATTTATAAAATTAAATGTACAATATCTGCCAGATTTGGTAAACAAAAATTTTGAGATAGAGAAATTGAGCACTGCGTTATGACAATTCTTCCAGCAGATCCCACTCACATCCCTAGCACCTCTCACCTGGGTTTCTTTGCTGCTGCCACAGAAGACCTCATTCTTCTCTTCTCTGTAATTGAGACTACTTTCCACTATCACAAATAAAAGCAAACTTACAAGGATATTGGCATTTGTCCCTTAGAAAATTAAAGTGGAAGGGTAATGAGATAAAAACTTGTCCTGTTTTTTTAAAGAAAATATGTACACTTTTCTGGGTTAACAAACACAGGCAGAGGAATTCCACTTCTATTTTGTTTTATTTGGGGGGATGCTTAACATACCCTACTCTAGTGCTGTGCAGTTAAGATCTCTTATTTTCTCTTGCACCTTAACTGGAAGACTCAGCTTTATACAGTACCAAATGTTCTGGGTTGGTACAGGCAACTCCACCAGGCAAAATCAGAGCAATCCCTGAAAAACAGGAAAAGACTAAAACTGATCATTTGTGGACATTTAAATTTACCAATTGTCTACAAATATCCGTTTTTCAATCCAAGACCTCAGAGTATATGCTTTTATTCCAGCTGTGCACTTACCTTTGATAAGTTCTAAATTATTAATAGTTGGCACTGATCTAAATATGAATGTCTCACCTGTTTGACAACATTCACTTTTCAAAAAATTTAACTCGCTACCTAATATTTGAACAAGTACGTTGACAAAAATGAGATAAATATGTAGCCAAGCATAAGCTTAGGTTTGAATGCACCTTCCAATTTCTAACCCCGTGAGCCACATTATTTCATCAGAAAGCCTCACCCTGACTCCTCAGAGGTTCACAGTGGCACAAAATGTAGGTCTTGCCCTCTACTAAAGGGATACAATTAACTGTTAAAAGGGGGTGATGTCTGATGCAGGGAAGAGAAAGAACAGAGAGTGACCACTAGATGACTCACTGTAGCTCCCTTTTTCACGCAGAGCAGCTGAGAGCAGAGGCCAGGGCTCTCCCTTGCCTGGGACTGGGAAGGGACGGTTGTCAGAAGCTGCCTGAGGTCTTGACTTGTTTTACAAATCTGATCTTGTAATCAAGAGGTTCTTCTTCTTTGGAAACACAGTGGTCCCTGGGGGCCACTACTCTTTCTCCTTTGAAAACCTGAGTTCAAATTCTCTAAGTCAAAAGTGAAAGGTTTTAGTTATATTCCCAGACCAGCACCTGTCTAGTAACCATTGCAGGAAAGCCCCAAGTTTGGGGGCTAGGCCATGCTTCAATTTACATGTCACGCGTCCTTATTTAAGAGAAGTTCTTACCTTTAAAAAGAAATGCCAATAAAAGGAACATTTGCTTTGTCAGATCTTTGTTGTTGATTTGAATCATGAGAGAATATTATCAGTTTGAGTTTTCTTAACTATTTAAGGGCAAGTACTGTAAGTTAGGCAAGCATCCTTGTCGCTGTTGCCAAATGTGGAATAAATCAAGTGGGCCCTCCTCCAACCCTAGGCCTGAGGAATTCGGCAGGAAGGAGTGCACTGCAGGGTGAACTATGCCAAAATGCCCAGTACGCTTAGCTAGAGGCCTGTCATGGTCCTTAGGGGTCTGCAGAGACTGAGTCACACAGTTGCCTTTGTAGATCATTTTTTCAGTACAGACATTAATAGCCCAATGACACTTAGAAAAGACAGGTATCCGGAGCACTTTCTCAACTACTACCCAGTTTCTATGAGGCTGATTACTTCTCAATGATGAAGTTTACACTAAGTTCCTAGTTTTGTTTTTCAGTTCTGAAGTTTCAGCAAATGTGTGAATCAGGTTTTTTGTGTTATTCTAAAAATTGCCCTGAAGTGCCTTTTAACTTTTGTACCACCCATAAAATATGTATCAATTGATTTTCTTTGGTGCTTCTGTTCTTTAAAAGCATTTCTTTCCATTCCTGTAGGCATGGTGGAGATGGAATCCACCCATATTCCCTTTAAAGTAGTGCCCTGTGGCATGAGCTCGTCCATCTGTGTTCAGACAGCTACCAACCACTTCTGTGAGGTCACCTTACGGGAAACCAAGGTGTGATCAGTAACTGAACCATCTCATGGCGCAGAAGGGAGCTGGACTTGGGAACTGGACCTGGTTTGAGTCCTGGTTCCCTTCAGTTAGTGGCTGGATAACTTAAGGCAAGTAGTAGGCCTTATCTGGAAAACAGCTTACCCGTTTCAGCATATTGCTGTGAGGACTAAAAGGAGAAATTTACAAGCACCATGCAAAGCACACCATATTCATTTCTTTTCATCCAAAAAGGTTGAGAGATAAGCAGTTAACCTTGACTAATGAAAGTGGTTTATTCATCTTTTCCAGAGCCACTCCAGATGTATTCTTAAGCATGTCCAATTCAGGATGAGGATACTAGGCCCATGATCTTAACTTTCAAACATTAACTTACTGACCTTTAGTCAAATTTATATTTAACCTTTAAAATAAAAAACAAAACAAAACAGAAAAGCAGAAAACCCTTTCGGTTACAGTTGGTAGGACTGTTTTACGTATTAATATGAAGAATGTGAACACAGAGTCTAAGACTTGAGAGGTGCTCACATTTTTATTGACTGCATCTGTACAGCCATGCAGTCTCTTGGAGGAAGAAAAACTATCTCAGGACCTACAGCTTGTGTAACCTTCATGCATCATAGTGTCAAAAGCTGACCCTAATTCAAAGTCCCTACTTCTTACTGGGGTTCACACATTTTTTTTTTCGGGCAATAAGCACTGTAACCTAAGAGGGAAGAAAGGTCCACACCTTCCCCAAAGAAAAGGAAGATGGATCTAGTGTCAGGCTCAATTAGACCCAATTGTGATGGCTCTCCAAAAAGGAACAATGCAGCTTTTGTGATATGCACAAGCAGAAAGCTTGGAAATTTTACAAAACAATCTTACTCCAAGAGAAACCTCGGTTCTAGCTCTCTTCCTGGAAAGAGGTGTAGATCGAGGAAAGTTTTATATTACTCTTATCAGCTCTTGCTGGGATCAGTATGTTTTGTTTAAAAAAAGAAATCTCAAACAACTAAGACAGACCTATGTGAAACCAGGAAATATGACTTACTCCACCGTCTGAGCATTTATGCTCCCTCGTTTCCACAGCCCAACCACAGGGTGTCCGATGATTTAGTTATTGTCTACCAAAGGGAACTCTTTGCTAGAATTGTTGGTATTCATTTATCTGCCCCAAATTCGGCCTAAGAACTCTGACCAGGGTGGATGAGTGGGCAGCTTCAGCGCTGGAAGTGCTTAAAATGCAAATGTGCAGGACTCCTGGCCAAACTCCCCATCCCCCAGGAAAGGGCTTACATACAGCCAGGCCTGGAGGAGAATGTTAAAAAGAAGGGGTAGAACTGCCCTCCTCCTTTCCATTTGGACCCTCACTCACACTGGAGGTTCAGCATGCATGACTGAGCAAGGGAGCGCCAGCAAGGACAGCACTCTTGTAAGTTTCCTGAACAATGGCTTCAGTTCCCTCCACCCTTCATCATTTCACATGCTCCCCACACCCACTCAAAAGTGTAAAGAAACCCATCTTTCTTCCCCACTTCCACATCTCATGACCCATTTTTTCAGCATTACCCTTAGATCTTGTTTCCACCCAAAGAAAAATTGGCCACCCTGGGGAAATTGTGACTCTTACAAATCTGGTTTTTTAAAAAGTTTCATTTTGTTCAATTTTTTAAAATTTCCATATTGTTGACAGTTTAAAACCAAAAATTATATAAATCTCCAGTCTAATCACATTTCTAGAAACAAAACATTTAGATGTCAGTAGTAAACCTTATACAGAATAAATTTTGAACCACGAGCTTACTCAGACCACATAGGATGCACCAAACTCTGTACCTTATTTCCCTTCACTGTAGAGTACACGAACAGCACCTCCTACTCTGGCACGTACCCAAACACACACTGCCTTAAAAATAATTCACAGATACAAGATGTTTTGTTTTTTTTTTCAAAAACATACTTCATATTTCCTCTTTTATTATATAAATATCAGTTTAACCTTTTACTGTAAGAATATAAACGTTTTAAGAGGATCTTTGTTATTATTTATACAAATTCACAAACAGTACAATTAATTGATAAAGGTCTCTGGGTTTCTTTAACTCCATGATCTCTCATGTTGCTGTGGAGGATTCTAAAAAAATAAACAAAAAATCCAACAAAAATATACATCCTACTCAAAAGCGATTTTTTTAAAGCCACAAGTCCCAACCCCCACCAAAATAAAGTCACCTATTCCTCCATTTAGAAACAGAATTTTTTAAAACCCACAAACTCCCATTTTATTAACAGAACAAGAGATAAGACGAGAATTTCAGTCTCCTCCCCTTCACATCACAGCCCCAGGGGCTCTGAAGGCCAACTCTGCTCCTGTGCTTCCAACAGGAAGCCTCACCGTGTGACCTTTTTGTGGGGAAACTCGGAAGAGGGTGAGGGTAGGGCAGAATTTGCATATATAATAATCATTTTCAAGACACAATCTGCATCTCAAACAAACAAAAAAAACAGTTCCACTCATTTCTCCCACACATTTGTGCTATAAATTAAGTCAAGATTTAGGAACAGGGTTGGGCCCTAAAATCCCAATAGACAAGGAGAAAAAGAAAATTATAGCCAGAATGTGGAAAGGGGACACACTGGATGGATGGGGTTTGGGAAGAAGCCAAAACAAAAAGGACGTACAAACCCAATGGGCATCTTTCCAGTCTAGGCACGAAAATGTTTAGTCTCAAAATATCTCTCTTGTAGAATTCCAGGGCTTCAGAGAAAAAAGTAAACTAAAACGAGGTAGCCAGACATATATATATATATATATAATTTATATATATATAATATATAGAATATATTCAGCAGAAAAAAGGGACCATGATTTCAAATTTCTTCAAAAACTAAAAAAAGGAAAAGACAGACAATAAAAATGAAATGATCGTGAATAGCAGAGTACTGTAAAAGGAGCAGTGATGAGAAGAGACTGGGATTAGTTACAAAGTGGAAGAAGGTGAAAAGGCCGTTGCAGTTGCGTTTGCTTTTTTATACATTTCAAAATAAAAACCAGATCACAGTATTCAAATGAAAGCTTTAAGTGAAGGCAGACATTTTCCTCAGCTCCCCAGGGTCGCAAGGACTAGTCACTCCCCACCCCCACCCCCATTTCCAAATGCATCGCAGTGGGAATACAGTAGCTCAGTCAGTCCTCCATCCCCCCCGCAGAGAGGAGTGGTTGAGTAAGTAGCTGAGTCCATCTCTCTATCCTCTGGGAAAAAGAGAGGGGAGTATGGGAGGGGGAGCAGGGGAACCCCAGATACAATGAGGAGAATGGGCATGTAGTGGGCGGGGATGCTGGAGAAGGGAAGAGAAAATGGGCCTGAGGCTTCGTGTCATTGCCTCCATCTCATCCACCGCAATGATCTATGTAAAGTGTGCGGGTGGTGACGGGGCGGGGTGGGGATGAACAGGGCGGGACGAGGGGAGGTGGTGCTGCCGCCCTCACCTGACCTTCTCACTGTCCGTCATCTGCCAGAGTCCCAGGTTGAGTACTTTGAGGCAGGGCAGCTGCGTGATGCGCTCCAGGCCGCGCTTGGTGATTCGCGTACAGCCATACAGGTCTATGCCAGTGAGCTGACTCAGGTGCTCAGCAATCAGCTCCAGACCCTTGTCCGTGATGCGCACACACTGTCCGATATTGAGCGTGCGCAGCCCGTGCATCTGCCGCACCATGCGGTTGATGCCATCGTCACTGATGTGGCAGGAGCAGAGAGAGAGGGACTTGAGGCCATCTAGGCCCTGGGCTATGTAGGCCAGACTCTGGTCCCCAACCTTGTCACAGAAGGACACATCCAGCCCCGAGAGGCGCAAGCTGCCCATAGCCAGATGCATGATGCCCGTGTCACTGATGTTGTCGCAGGAACGCAGGTTAAGGCTGCGTAGGCTGCCCATGTGCGACAGGTGCAGGAGGCCTGCGTCCGAGATGCCCCCGCAAAAGCTAAGGTTGAGGAGCCTCAGGCCCGTCAGCCCCCGGGAGATGTGCTTCAGAGAAAGATCAGTGAGCTTCTGACAGTCCTGCAGCGTGAGCTGCTCCAGGCCCAGGCAGCCCTCCGCCGCGCTGCGCGTCATGCCGGCCAGGTGCCCGATGCCCACGTCGGAAAGGTGGCGGCAGCTGCGGAGATTAAGGCTCTTGAGGCGCTGCAGACCCCAGGCGATGAGCAGGAGGCCGGTGTTGGTGATGTTGCTGCAACCCCCCAGCTCCAGCACCTCCAGGCCCTTGAGGTACTGCGCTATGCGACCCAAGCTGCTGTCGGTGATCTGCTTGCAGAGGCTCAGGTTGAGGGCACGCAGGGAGCCGATCTCCTGCACAAACGCGTGGCCCAGCCCGTTGTCGGTGAGGTTGTAGCAGCCGCTTAGGTTGAGGCTCTCGATGTTGGCCATGCCCTGGATCACGTAGCTGAGGCTGCGGCGGAGGCTCAGGATCTGCACGCGGCGGATGCCCCGGGCCTGCAGGCTGGGGAACAGCGACGGGTTGGCCCGGCGCAGGTGCAGCTTGGCCTCCACCCCCCGCCACACCGACTTGTGGTAGGCGGCGTCCCGCCAGGCCGTGCACACCTGCGCCGCGCGCCCCTTGTCCCGGACGTCCAGGTAGCCGAAGATCATGGCCAGCAGCTCCGGGAACAAGCACGAGATGTGGGTCTCCATCTTCCTCCTCCCCCCTCCGCGGCGCTGGGGGGAGGAGGCGCGGCCCCGCCGCTCCGGCCCCGGGAGGCGACGAGAGCGGTTCGCCCCAGCCGCCGCCTCGGGCCCAACGGACGGCCCCTCCCCGCCTTCCGGCTCCGGCCGCCGCCGCCGCTCCTCCTCCTGGTCCGTCCGTCCGTCCTTCCTTCCTGCCGGCCTCGCCTCCCTTCCCTTCCCTCCCCCCGCCCCGGGCTCCGCTCGGTCCTCAC